GCCTCAGGATTCTCTTCAAAGTGTGTTTTAAGCAACAACATAAAACTATGTATATATTTAAAGGTCATAAAGTTTCAGCAATAACCTTTTCTGTGTCAACCTTTAAATTTTCTTTGGCAATTGTAACTTGTTTTGTGTTATAAAATTAATGGTAATAAGTAGCTAATAGTCTTAGAAAGGGTATTAAAAAACGGTTTGTCATGGCAAATGTCTCTCTCCCCCTCCCCTTGCCCTAGATTTTTTGCCCATAATTTTCAGATGATGAAATTGATTGCAACTAAGATTAAACCCTTTACCTGTTTGGGCATAAATTTTCAATGTAAACACCATCTTGAAGATAAAAATATGAGGAAGGGTGTGGTGGTACATGTCTGAATTCCAGGACTTGCAAAGCAGAGGTGGGAGGATCAGGAGTTCAAGGTCAGTCTCAACTCTAGGACTCTGTCTCAACAAACCAGAAATAAACACACAAAACCTTAAGTCATACATATTGTGTAAGTATGCCCTGTGGATGTATTAAACATTAGGTCTCTAATTCTAAATTGCCTCTGAATTGTGAATCTTATATAAACTAACTTCCACAGGATAGAATTGCAGTTAATTACAATCTGGAATTACCCACCTGCTCCATCCTGATGGGTCTCTTCTCATTCAGGTCCTAGTGCACTATGCCTCTTGACAGCAATCCTTTTACTCCGCCTATTAACATAACTGTCTCTATTCCCAACTAATCTGCTGCCAACAACGTTAGCAATGGTAGTCTCTGCTAAAGCTCAAAGATACCAAGGTCACTAACCAACTGCTTCTAAATTCAGAACATTCTAGATAACCTGGAACATCTTATTCTAGGTCAAAATTTAGATGTCTGTCAAAACTTTTAAAACCCTGACCTCCAATGTACGGTACATATGTTTCTAAAATTGCCCCCAACTCCTCTCCCCATAAACTCCATTGTGAGCTGGAAACACCTTTGTACTTTCTTAGTTCTGACCCCTGCATTTGTTGTTTCCATTTACCCCCCAATTCCAAACCTAGCTTAGGGTCCCCACTGGAGTTCTGATTTAGTCCTCTTTTCTCTTTGCTCACCTCAGTGCTTGACAGTTCAAGGCCTGAGTGCTGGAACTCTCATGGGTGTCTTTCAAATTTTATGGGCCAATTTAGTTTTCTATGTACATACTTTCTGGTTCTTTTGTCTGGAACGTTCCTCACATATTTGGTTTCATCTCCCAAACTTTTGCCAAAATGCCACATCCTTAGAGCGGATTTACTGGGACACACTAGCTTCAGAAGTCAGTCTGGTTCTCTGCCCTCCCATCATCCAGGGTGTAGGTCTATGAAAACATGGAGTTTGTGTATTCTGTTTGCTGTCTCTCCAGTACCTCCTGGAATGCTATTCTGCCCCCCATGGACTAAGGAGGATTGTCTATTGATTTAAAGGTTAATCTCTCCCTAGGGGGCCACTCAGAGATAACATTTCCCCAACCATCTGAGCATCCTTTTCCATTCCAGTTGGTTCTTAAAGCTTAACTGATACAGTGTGTATTAAGAGAAAGTTTTTTAAGTTGGTTGTGCCATCAATGCTTTTCTTATTGGGCCCACCTAGAGGAACAAAACAGTTGTTTTTTGCTCTCTCTCTCTCTCTCTCTCTCTCTCTCTCTCTCTCTCTCTCTCTCTCTCTCTCTCTCTGTGTGTGCATGATTGCATGATATGTTGTATATTTGTTGATGTGTATGTGAGTGTTTGTGTGTACACATGTTCAGGTGTGTTACAGGTGCATGCCTGGAGGCCAAAGATCAATACCCACTGTCTTCCTTGATCACTTTCTACCTTACATATTTTTAAAAAGTTGTTTCTTTTATTTTGGTCACCTGTGTTTGGGTGTGGAGGTCAGAAGAAGACAACAGATTCCTTGGAACTGGGATAGACAGTTGTTTGCTGCTCAACGTGGGTTCTGGGAATCTAACATGGTTTTCTAGAAGAGCAGCAAGTGCTGGTGAGTCATTTCTCCTGCCCCTTGACGTAATCATCATCATCATCATCATCATCATCATCATCACTGTTTTGAGACAGGACCTGTTACTAAACTTAGAGCTTACCAATTCAGCTAGATTAGCTGGTCATCTAGCCCCAGGAACCAACATATCTCTACTTTCCCATTTCTGTGGTTGTAAAAGGTAACTGCCATTAACACGGGTGCGGAGGACCAGGACCGGACTTCCTAAGCAAATACTTTAACAACTGCATCATCTTCCCAGTCCCTCATTCAAATTTGGGGCAAATATAGTTCTTTCATTTAGTGAATGTTTCTTCCTTTATTTTTCTATGATTAAATTATATTTATTGTTATTAAAATTATGTTTATTATGCTATGTTTATAATAATGGTAATAATGATGGTCTACATGGGTTCCTGTGGAGGGAAGAGAACAACTTTCAGGAGTCAGTGAGTTCTCTCTTTCCACCGTAGTGTGGGTCCCAAGGGTCAAACTCAGGTGGTGGAGCTTGCCTGACAAGCCCTTTTACCCATGGAACCATGTGGACAGCCTAGGTTTTCTCCCCCCCCCCCCTCTCTTTTTCTTTCTCTGAGACTGGATCTCACTATGTAGCCCTGGATGGGCTACACCTGCCTATGTAGACCAGCCTGACTTTCAATTCACTGAGATCTGTCTGCCTCAGTCTCTGGAGTGCTAAGCATGAAGTATCGTCCCATGACCCACAGTTTTTCTAAAAGCAGCTTTTAGAATACGTTTATTGGGAGTTATTTAAATTTCACTCCACCTACAAAAATAAACTTGGGATAACTGTGGAATTTAAAGCCATGTGATAAACGAGATGAAGTCCTGGTATGCGACTATATTTGTAAGTTGGGTAAAGATAAAATGGCCTAGTTTGCTGTGTTTCTAATGGAAGGAAAATGACATACACATGAAGAATGAAGGAAGAGTTTTCGTAGTAGCTGCTGAGGCCTGGTCATGTATTTGAAAGAGCAAATAGGAAAGTGTTCCTGAGGTTGCAGGCAGAGGCTTTGTAAACACACACATAAGAATACTATTATTATCTCAGCCCCAGACAGCCAATGTGCTAGAGGAAAACCCTCTGTCCCATCTCTCAGGGCTCAGCTACTTGAGAAACATTGGAAATTTACTCAGCAATAATTCTTCCTACCAGAATTGCTGCAACACAGAGGGCGGGCGCAGGGCTTAGACTACACTTGTCGTCAGTACATTTAAATTCCAACAGCATAAATATTTTCAAAACCCTGCAGAGTGCCTGGAAGTCATTCTCGGGCTGAGTAATGGGATTTGTGCCCATTGTGACAGAGTCACTAAAATTGGACAGACATTTGCTGCAAGAAATTTAGAGGGATCTTGGAGAGCAGAAAACATCTTGTGGAATTATGGCTGCAAGTGTGTCGAAGGGATCAGGGCAAACTCATTTCTAATCTAGCTGTTTGCCAAAAGTTCTTGAATATGATTTAGCTGTAGCCATATTTTCTTTTCTTTCTTTTTTTTTTTCTTTCTTTCTTTCTTTTTTTTCGAGACAGGGTTTCTCTGTATTGTTTTGGAAGCTGTCCGGGAACTCGCTCTGTAAACCAGGCTGGCCTCGAACTCACAGAGATCCGCCTGCCTCTGCCTCCTGAGTGCTGGGAGTAAAAGCGTGCACCACCAACGCCCATCTTGTAACCATATTTTCTATGGTGGATTGCCATATTTATTTTAACTGTGTGAATCTTTGTATTTATACCAATAAACTGGCACTTTGTGATAGAATGAAGGATTCAGATCTGCCTTTTATTGTCAGATTTGCTTTACTTGTCACTGAAAAAGGAACATTTAAAAAACTGTAATGATATGAATTGCTGGGCATGGTGGGATGAATCTATGAACCCAGGAATGTGAGCAGGAGACTTAGGAGTTCAAAGTCACCTTTTGCTAGACAACTCTGAGTCTAGCCTAGGTTACATGAGACCCCTGTTTCATAAAACAAACAAAAAATAAATTATTAAATGAGATTTAAAATAATGCATTTGGCCTTCGTTTCTGCTTTGAAGTCAGGTTTCTGACTTCTCTTTGTGACAGACTGTGACTAGGATATGTGCCCAAATGAACCTTTTCCCTACAAGTTGCTTTTTGGTTAGAAATTTTTATCCCAGCGCTACAAAGCAAACTGAGAAGAAGAAAGGAAAAAAATGCACTTCATAAAAACATTGATGACATTAATTAGAGGTGAATGGAGGAGTTGTTGGGACGAAGGGGCACAATGGTGATCACTGCTGATACCTCATATAAGCTTCCTGTCCAGAGTACTTAAGATAATGGTGTTTCATGGATTCTCATGACATGCTTGCTTTGAGATATGGCTTCAGTATGTAACTTAGGCTGGCTTTGTACTCATCAACTCTTCTCTTCCTACCTCCCAAGTGCTGGAATTACAGGTGTGAGCTACCAGCAAGCTTGTATTATAATGGACACAATACCTGTACTTCCTTCACGTCAAAGTTATCAAATACTTCAGACAGGATTGCAAACTTGGGATTCTGGCCAATTTATTATTGTATCTAAGTCAGAACACATGCGTTCTATTCTTTGACATGTCTTTTCACAAGTTTTGAATTTGGAGAGAAAAGCTTGAGCAGACTTGATTTTTAAAGTGGCCCAAAATTGTTCAACTGTAAAACGTATCTATTTCATATGGGGTGTTTGTTTTGAACTTAGCTTTTTAAAGACTTAAAAAAATGTTCAACATAGTTCATTATCTTTTCAACTGTGCTCTTAGTCTTTTGTGAAAAAGAGGAAGTAGTGACTGCCTAAATACAAGCAGCAGTATCAAACACACACACACGCACACACACGCACACACACACACGCACACACACACACACACACGCACGCACACACACACACACACGCACGCACGCACGCACGCACGCACACACACACACACACACGCACACACGAAATCTAGGTCACACGTTTTTAAAGCATTTATTATGACTTTTAAGGCTCGATTAAACACGTACATTTAGGATGTTGGTCTCCATCAGAAGAGCTTGCCCCGGCTCGAATTCCACCTTAACATCCAGACTCAGTGAGACCAGCCCACTTCTAGCCCCGCCTACCAGGGGGAAAAGACTTTCTTGAAGTCGGAACTGCGAGGGGATCCCGCCTGACAGAAAACTAGAGGCACCGAGAAGCCTGAGGACTCCTCATTTAACCCTGGGAACTGTAAGCATTTACTCTCCTTGCCTGCTCCCTCTCGCGCACTCCCCAGCTATCCCAGGGCAGCTCTCCAGGAGGAAGGCAGCCACGAGTAGTAAAACCTCACTGCTTTCGCTCCTCTGCTTTTGTAAAAGATTCTCAGAGCAGGCTTCAGTCCCCTGCTTACTGATGAGGACTTTGCTTTCCTGGGTCTCAGAGCAGGTAGGAATAAAGGGAGAAATTGTTTCCTTCAGCGGTTGCTGGGAAATTTAGTATTTATAGAGAAGTGAGTTGACGCGTCTGTGTTCCACGTGATATCACCCAATGATTGCTGGGGACTCCTGGACTTGAGTTGCTTGTTGCTTGACAGTGGAGATGACTAGGGGGTGCAGTTCGGTGACTCATTTAAATTTTAATTGTTAAAAAAAGAGTTATATCAGTGACTACTATCTAATATGTTGCTGTGTTATGCGATAGACAATACTGAGAAATTAACCGTGACCTACCAAGCATTGCTGTTCTCTCAGTTATTTGGGTAACTTATCTGTCCTGATAAGGAGAACAGGTCAAAACTTTTCTTGAAAATATTTTATCAAGTTGCATGCTTGAATTTTGAGCGTGGCTACTGTTTTAGAATTGTGGTGCAAAAGAAGGAAGGCAGAAAGACATTTGGTTTTGAAATAATAGCGACCTAATCTGTTTAAGACTTTTACAACTTGTAATGATTTCAGTCTTAAATATATTTTCATCACTTCAAAACCTAGGTTAAGAAAAGTGCCCTGCTTTTGGCTGATGGTTTAGATTGCTTTCAGTGAAGGAGGTGGAGAGTGTTAGAGACTTGCCCCTTAGAATGGTGATTCTAACTTTATATTTGGGATTCTAGTTTGGGAAAAGGGGGGGGGGGATGCATTTTGTTTTGTTTTTTCGGTTTGTTGGGTACATTTGAAATTGCAGCCAAAGAGACTCACAGGGAATTTAATGACATAACCTATTGAATTTGAAATTATTCCCCAGGTGTGTTGAGAACTTGCCAATGAAGTTGGGGTTTTAATTTTATTGAGCTCAGGAAAGAGTTGAATTTTAAATTAAGCAATAATTGTGTGTAATTCACAGAGAAGTAGTTAATCGATGTTTCATCAAAGCTTTACAAACTTCCTCCAAGAGAAGCATATTTTATGGGAAGAGAAACTTTCATTTTAACAGTGTAAGTTATTTTTATAGAGTTTTGTATGTATTTTTAAATAGGAAAAATAAAATTCTGAGATATATGTCTTAACCCTTGGTAAAGTTCATGACCTAGAGGTAACTGCCTGTTTTTAACATGTGTCTTTCCTTGTGCTGTCACTTTGAAAGCTGGGTCCCGAAGCTGATTGCATATTAATTAACATGTTCCAGGAATAAAAAAAGAGGAAGACAGAACTTGCATGGTTCCTTTTCCTCCCCTCTATTTACCACCACATCACCCACCCTAACCCCATCGTATTTGTAAATGTCATTTCTTTTACCTCTTTTCTTTCTCATTGATCATTGACTCCTTCACAAACATATTGAGAACTCTGGAATCCTCCTAGGATAATGTGTGTTCTTCCAGTGTACAGAGATCTGAAAGGAAGAAATTCACACATTTTCCAAAGGAATGACTATTTCCTATAACTGCATTTTCTGATAATACATCAAAGTTAAGTAGCAAACTATTCCATTTGTAAGTGTAGGATTACCAAGCTGTCAATACTGCAGTGTCCACACTGGCATTTGTTCACTAATATTTAGGAATTCTGAGCACCTTAGGACCATGAGTAGCCCCTTGTCTAGAAAGCAAGTGACCTAGATTCTAGACTCAATAATAATCATCCATGAATTAGAGGATCATGAAGTATATATGTATAGTCTACTTTTATTCTAACATTCTGAATTATATTTTCCAGATTGATCACAACTTTTAATATTATTACCTGTTACAAAAGTAATTCACACCCACTGTCAAAATCTTGTTAAATAATAGAAAAATGCAAAGAACAAAATAAAAAACACACTTATTCTCCTCTAAGGACTTACTTTTAAACGACTTTCATCCATTTATTTACTATCTTAGTATTTATTGATTACCCAGCATACATTAGCACATAGAAAAAGAATCTGGGTATTTGCATTAGCTTATGCTTACACATTTGCCTTTATAACATATATGTAGACTCACAAATCTGAGAGTTTGAATTTGGTGACATTTTCTATGGCACTTTCCCTTGATTTGCATGATTCTATTAAAACATTTTTTATAATTGTGACTACATATTCATCCATATTTTTTAAAATCAAATACCATGAGTCTCTATTAGGAGTCATATACCCTTTAGCAATTGAAGACATGGCTCTTTCCATGAGCTATGTTCAGTCTATAGATATGCTGAATTGACCAATCATAAATTCTTGGATATTTAGATTGATTGCAATTTTCCACAAGTAATATTTAATCTAGAACCATTATATTAGTGTTTTTATAGCTCATTATAGTTCAGTTTTAAAAGTGCATTTCTAGACTGACAAAAATTCCACAACTTTCCAGTAATGAGATCATAAGCCACCTAGTTACTTAATTCCTTATATTGCTATTCTTTTAGCTATAAAATAGGAATAAAAAATCCAATATGTTGAGGATCCTCAAAATATTTAACATGTCACAGAGTACTCTTTTCCATTTTGTTTTTGAGACACATGTCCATTCATGAGCAGCTTGAGGTATTAGAGTTTGCCCGTTATAGCTTGGGATGACATGAAGAATAATAAGTGGAGAACCAGTCATTAAGACAGCCACTACAGGAGGAGTGCTTGCCTTATTTACAATCGCATCTCTTTCTTAAAGGAGTTTGGCAAATGTTCAGAATGGTTACTTAGATGTTTGTATCTTTCAATGTGACTTTAACATTTTTTTTTGAGCTTTAACTTTCAGCATAGCAAATATGAACAGCTATAGTGGACATCATCAGAGATCTTATGGAATCCTCATGGATTTTGAAGACTGTCAAGGGTCTTAACAATGCAATTGAAATTCCAAAATAGAGGTAGAAATTATATAGACTCATCATTTAGGGGTTTGGTTTCAGTATTTCGTGACACTTCCCTTCACAAAGGGTGGGAATGCACAAAAATATGAAAGCAAATCATATTCTCATAGACTCATAGTTCACCCAAATTGAGGAAATTCCAGAGAATTCTGAGAAGATGCCCCAAACTTCTGTAGCATCTCTCACAGCTCTGAAGACATCTAGGCTTGCCTAATGTAGAAAAAGTAGGGCAAAGGCTAAGAGCTGGTTATGTGATGATTACTAATAAAAGTTTTGTAAAAAGAATGCCCATGTTTGTCAATAATGAACATACAATGAGCTTAAATATTGACCAAATCATCATCTTCTACTTCTTGACTACTGAGGCAACAAAGAGTCAGGAGACTGACAGTGATTCTGGGCTTTTCAGAGAAGGCAACAAGCAGGGAAGATATACTCTTCTGATCTTTTGATGCCATTACTGCCATTATTGTGTGTGTGTGTGTGTGTGTGTGTGTGTGTGTGTGTGTGTGTGTGTGTTGCAGCTTGTTTTTGCTACTCTATATATGTAGGCCTCAGTTACTGTTTTACTGTCTGTGACTTTTAATACACGCATAGCAATCTTAAATACAGTTTCCTTCTCTTCTCAAACAAATGTAAATAACTCAGTGCTGACCAAAAGCAGTTTTGAAAAGTTACATTACCAGTTTAACTGCTTAATTAATTCAAATGTCTTTAGAGAAACTCAACTAGCACCTGGGGTGAGCTGGGATTAAAAGATAATGGATAGCCCTCATCTTTTTTCCTTCTGCTCATTAACACAAGGAGCTGGGAACAATTTGCATTCATTTTCTTAGTCTTCTACTCTTTTGCTTTGCCTTGGAGTCTACAGGCAAATTTAGGACTTTTAGGTAAGAGTGAGTTTTGAGTTAGCAGACAAGTGTCCCTAATATGTCTAATTCCAGCATTCTTTTCAAATATAGAAAACTCATGTCTGCGAGACTCAAGTTATATTTTCTTATTCATTTTGTTTCTATTTATGAGCTATTTTTACAATCATTTAGTTTGAAAAAATAAGAGTTCTATTATTATCTTCTATTTATATAGTGCTGTATGGTTTATAAAAATGCTACATAAGAACTTCATTCATAACTGAGACTGGTAGCACAGACATGTAATTCCAGATACTTGGGAAGCTAATGCAGGAGGTTAACAAGTTCAAGGCATGCCTGTGCTACACATTAAGTTCAAGACCAACCTGGGCAACATAATGATATCCTGTCTACAATGTTTATAAAAGTAAAAAAAGGGGGGGACTAGGGATGTACTGTGATCATTTGCTTGTCAAACATTCACTCAACCATAGATTCAGTTCCCAATACTGAAAAAGAGAAAAACAAGCAAGAAGAAAGGAAAATTCCATGTTTTTAGTAATAACTATGAATTAGCAGAGCAGTCACTACTGTCTACATTTACAGATGTGAAAAGACAAATTTGGGAAAAATCAAATAGCTTCTCTTTCCAAGCCTATGTCCATGGATGCCATGGACATTGTGTATTTCCTTACACCAGTTGATTTGTTCATATTCCCTGGTTTTTGATGTCTTATTTGTGGTGGTCAGCCCCCTCCTACCAGGGTTAATTGAAAAATTGTTAGGAAAAGTTCAGGAAAGTGCATTGTTCCAAAGTCCAGTCCCACAGCAACTCCATTGTTCTGTCCTTGTAACCTAGTTACTGATTGAGAGGACATTACAGTAACATTTATAATGAATGAAAAACTAGCTTCTGATTCATAATTTCAGGTGTTTTGTACTACTTGGTATTTTATACAGACACATACAGCTTGAAAGGAAATAACTCATATGATATTTTACCAAAACTATGAAATAGACATATTGAGTGTTTTTTTTTTGTGTGTGTGAATCACGATAAGAAATACTTATTCAACCAAAGGACTTACATCCAAGTTGAAAACAGAAGTTTCCT